TTGCGTTTAATCATTAATTCTATGTATGAATTAATTAAAAATTAAAATATCCGTTAATAGTATGCATAAATTACATATTTTTTAATTTTTTAATTAATTAATTTATTATTACTTTTAATTATATCCGACAGTTAATTAATTAGAACGTTAATTAATAAATTCAATTTGAGTAAGAATTTAATTTAAAATTGAATAATTATTAAATAAATATGTTATTTATTCATAACTTAAGCTTATTTATTATTAATTAACTTTTATTATTAATATTATTGATTAAAAAACATTATGGCAAACTTGAGGGCAAGATGAGGGCAAACGTGAGGGCCCATAAGGGCGCCCGTAGGGGCACCCTCATGGATCGCCCATGCGGGCGCCCTCATCGATGAGCATGTCGTTTCCATGAGGGGCCCCTATGGATCATCCATATGCGCCCCTCATGGCATGAGGGCGATCCATAAGGGCCCCCACTGGGGGCCCACATCACTTTTCCACACGGGTTTTAATAATTATATAATATTTACCGAGTAAAATTTAGATAAGGTCATCAATAAAATTTTTAAATAATTAAAAGATAAAAACAAACGAGTATTGAACATCAGACTACAAATTTTTTTAGCAAACCGTTTTCCCGTTATAGAATTTTGAAAATTGGAGAATTTTCATGACTTTTAATTTTTGAATGCTCATAACTTCATTAAAAATGCATCAATTTTAAAAATCTTTTTTTTCAAAATGTGTGTTTTTAAACGTACTTTTCAACAAAAAAATCGAAATTCTTTATAAAAGATATTACTATAAAATTTTTGAGTTTTAATGATAAAAAGTCATTTTTCTCATTTGACGTACTGATCGTTTTTTTCAAAATTTTTTCAAAAAAACAACTTCTTTTTACGAAACTTTTAAGCCTAGCCCGAAAATGGGCAAACAATTTTTTACAATACTTTCGAAATTTTTCAAAAATTTTTCGAATTTTTTAAAAATATTTTTGGTTTTTTTTATACTACGTACTTTTATGTATTTTGATGCGCTGATTACGAAAATTATAGTAACAATACTTGCGGCCGTCGGCGGCGCTAGTGTAGTATAAAAAAAACCAAAAATATTTTTAAAAAATTATAAATTCAAAAATTTTTGAAAAATTCGAAAATTTTGTAAAAATCATTTGCCCATTATCAGGCTCGACTTAAAAGTTTCGTAAAAAGAAGTAGTTCTTTTGAAAAAATTATGAAAAAAATCGATCAGTACGTCAAATGAGAAAAATGACTTTTCATCATTAAAACTCTACAATTTGCTGTTTCATAATTCAATATTTATTATCAAAAGCAAGATTGTTTTAAAATGTGAAAAATAAAGTAAATAGAGACGACTGTTCACAGAAGTAATAAACAGAAGGACGGCTTTTACGTGAGAAAAGCACGCTGGGACTGCTGCTTACAGTTGTATTTATTTACTACTACAGTATTTATAAATAACTTGAAAATAATTTAAGAGAATTTCTAACTAATAGTTTTAAATTTTTTTTTAAAATATAATTGACATGAAAATTTTAGCACGATTTTTAAAATCAATGAATAAAAAATTTTGTATAAAATTGTATTTGAATGTTTTTAAAAATAGTGCTAAAATATTTTTGTCGATTATTATTACAGTCAAATAAAAATTATGTCAATTAAAAATTTTGTTAAACGTTTTTTAACGCTGAGACTTGTTCGCCGTTGATAACCCATGTCTTGCTTGAGATAATTAATATTGAATTATAAATCAGCAAAACTTTTATCCTTTTTTTTGAAATGTTAGTTTTTGCTGCCTTACAATTCTATTGACTATTTACAATTGACTATTTCTGTAGTAAATTTTACTGTTTCCGTAGTAATTTTTACTATTTCTGAAGTAAATTTTACTATTTTTGGAGTAAAAGTTGCCAGAGATGCGCAGAAACTTCGGACAGGTCCAATTTTACTTTTAAAGTAGTAAAAGTTACTTTTTCTTTTTTTCCGTGTATCTCGCACTTTTGATCAACCTTCTCTATACGCATTAGTGTGTCTTCGTCGCCCTCGTCAGCTGATTTGTAGGCCATCGTTCTTACAGTGTATATATACAAATAATGATGATGAAAATATTTTCTATTTTATAGAAATTCTATTCATACATATATTGAAATTTTTTTAATTAATAAATTATTCAAACATTGGAAAATTGTTAAAAAGAAATTTTATAATAACAAAAACACAAAAAATTTATAAATTGACTATTTTAATAAATTAAAATTGCAACAAAATAAAAATTCTGACAAATGAAAATTTTTAAAAATCATTGGGACTTATTTACAGCTGAGTTGGATAGAGACGCAAATGGAATTGCGCATAAGTGTGTCTTCGTCGCACTCGTCAGCTGATTTATAGGCAATCGTTCTTACAGTATATATATATATAAAATAAAGTAATTTAAGAGAATTTCTAATTAATAGAATTAAAATTTTTTTAAACATAATTGTCATGAACATTTCATTGAGATTTTTAAAATCAATTAATAAAAATTTCCTATTAAACTTTTATAGGTTGATTTTAAAAATAATGCTGAAATCTTTCTGTCGATTACTTTTTCAGATAAATATAAATTATGTCAAATAAAAATTTTGTTAAACTATTTTTCAATAATGTATGAATTTTATAATATGAAAAGTCTGTTACACATATTGAAATTTTTTTATATAATTGAGCCTCCCAATTCTGTAACTCGCCCGACGCTCGAACGGACGCTCTATTTGTAGTCGGGTAGAAGCGAGCATCAATGGCTCTCTCGCTGATACCCGACTACGAATAGAGCGTCCGTCCAATCGTCAGGCGAGTTATACTCTCTAAATCTGAATTAGTCAAAATTTTACTAATTGAATTAGTAACACTATATTTTACTAATGAATTAGTTGTTTCATCACTTTCTACTAAAAAAAATAGTCACTTTTCATTACTGAATTAATTAGTAGTGCTTTTTCTACTAAAAAAATAGTCACTTTTAATGACTAAATGAATTGTAGAGATTTTCTTCTAATTTGTTAGTCATGGTATGTGCATACATCAAAATAAGCAAAAATAGCTTAATTGAAAATTTTTTAATTTATTATACAACATTATTCTGTTCCAACCAAAGAAAAATCAGTTTAACAAATGCACAAGTAATGAAGTAATTATTTCCTATTAAGTAATTATGAAAAAAATATTTATTTTTCTTTATGTCCAGACATAACAGTTAGGTTTTGTAGGTTATGTTTACCAAAATTGACATATAATTAATTTAGTAATATAATATTAATAATGATGATATTGATATTTTGATCAAATTGAATGTGTTCAAACACAGTTCTTCAAATGTTTGTATAGATGGCCAAAAAACACTCCAAACTATTGTTGTTATGTTAATGTTAATTAATTTAATTAACAAATCTAAATCAATATTGGCACATTTATAAGACTCTAATTACAAATTTATATAATGATTAAATGTGTATAGAAAACAAATCGACTTTACCTTATTTATTAGCGATTTGACAACGAGTTTATGACAATTTGTTTATAAGAGACATTTTGTAACTAATTTTCATAGCCTCCTTTGGTTGAGCGCGTCAAGGCGCAGCTCCCAAGGTAGAAGGCAAGGTAATGGGTTCAAATCCTAGTGACATCTCCCACCAGTAATTATCGCAGAATAATTTCGAAAATGAAATAAATAAATTTTTTTTATTGATTCACGTTATTTAAACTATATAAAAACAAAATATAATCGTTTTCTATTTTTTAAGCAATAATTTTTGTCAATTTTCAAAATAAATACGTCTACATTACCTACTTTATCTACCTATGTATACTTTGTGCTTATTTTTTGACCAAGATTTCAACTTGTTCTTTCGCCTTGGTGTTTTCGCTGTCTTGTCTTGATAAATAACTTTCTCGTATAAATATTATATCATTTTTTAAAATATTTTTCTATCATTTTTTATTTTTTTCTATCAATGTTTTTATCAGTTTCCTATCATTTTCCTATCATTCTTTCTATCGCTTCGAAAAAATGGTAAACATAATATGATGGAAAATCAATGATATGCCTATTATGAATTTCTTATTATAAATTTTCATAATGGTAATTAAATTTTATGTCTTTATATCTTAAAAGTTGATAAGATTATAAAAATAATAAGACGCTATGAATAATATAACAAGTATACAATTACTATTTTCATAAATCATGTTACTTTTGTATATAATTTCAATAAACAAATACTTTCTTAAAATTTTAATATGTAATTTTTTTTATTTTCGTTAATAATAATAATAAATAACGAAACTCAACAGTTTTTAATAATAAAATAATTGTAAAAAACATTTAAAATTCCATTTGATACTATTGCTGTAGCTACATGAACTAAATGCTTAGCCGCTATCAAGTTTAAATATTCACCACTTGAATACTAACTGTTCAATTACATTGTAACATTACAGAAAACTTCTTTATATTTTACTGAAAAACATTCTCACTGGAAGATTTTTATTGCTCAAAATTAGTCCGTTAAACGAGAATCTAGAAGATTATAAAGCATAAATTGTACAATCTTATAAAAAAAATTATTACATTTTCATGTAGAAGAATAGTAATTTCATTTTTGTTTTATCACTTGTAGAATAAATAAACAAGTATTTTCATTTTTATTTCATTAAAAAATATCAAAAAATGACTAAAATATTACGAGTTGAAGAGAAAAAAGTAATTAAATTTCACATTTTCAAAAGAGAAGTATTTGTTTAATATATTGAAAATCGTAATAAATCGAAAAAATGTAATTAAGAAAAAAAGCCTAACAAAATTATCTATGAGAATATGGTAAAACAAAATTAAAAAAAAATTGAAATAATATTAACTATTCATTATGCCTTACCTATGACTTATAACCAATTAGAGAACTTTACTATCTCCCAATACTTTTTCAAATATTCGCTTATCACCAGAAGAGGGGAGAATCGAAACATATTCAAAGAGGAATATAATTTTCACAAGCAGTATATTCCGAACTTCTTCGAAGCCCGAATTCTTGTGCTTAATTATATAATTGTGTCCAACAATTTTATTTAAAAAGTTTATTCTTTTTTTTAAAAAAATTAATAATTGTGTTCAACAATTTTATTTAAAAAAATCATTCTTTTTTATAAAGAAATTAATAATTGTGTTCCACAATTAAATGTGCGATGGTTAGAGTTAAAGGTAAGTTAAATATTAAAAATTTTATTATTTAATTTTTAATTATTATTATTATTATTATTATCAATATTTTTATTGAGTGTACTTCCGAAAAGGTCCCCCCTTTAAATTTAATAAAACACGGGTATTCTTACGTATTTTGGTGCATAGATTACGAAAATGATAGTGAAAATTGGCGCAAATTTGATTATCATGGTAAAAACCATAAAAAAAAACACCATAAAAAATTGTTTTTTTGTGATTATCTCGTAAAAAACGCAAAATTTCGAAAAAAGTTTTAGACAAAAGTTGTAGATTTCAAAAAAACACACATTTTATGTGGTATACATTTTTTCTCAAAAGTGATTATTTTTCGAGAAAAATCCCAAAAACCAAAAACACCATGATAATGAAAACATATACAACAGTCATGGTTAGACATATTATTTGACTCGTATATAGTATCATATTCACCATTACTCAGCATCCAACGAATTCCGCAAAATACTTTCGGCCATATCCACCCCCTCTCGCCAAGGTTTTTTAAAAAGAAAAGCGAGCAGTACCTTACACGGCCTAAGGCCGTGTTTAATATTCTGCGTTTACCGCTGCTGTATAGACTCCACCCCACAATTTCCGCAAATTACTTTCGGACCATTTTTCTTGAAAAATAATGACTTTTGGTAAAAAATTCATAAAACATAAAATGTGTGTTTTTTTGAGATCTACAACTTTTGTCTAAAACTTTTTTCGAAATGTTTTGTTTTTTACGAGATAATCGCAAAAAATCATGATTTTATGGTGTTTTTTACGGTTTTTACCATGATAATCAAATTTGCGCCAATTTTCACTACGATTTTCGTAATCTACGCACCAAAATACGTAAGAATACCTATGTTTTATTAAATTTAAAGGGGGGACCTTTTCGGAAGTATATCCTTTTTATTATTATTATTGATACTATTATTATTAAACAATAATTATTTTATTCCCACATAAAATTTTAAATTATCCTAATAAATAATTCTTGTACGATCGCTTTATAACGTATAAGACACAAGTAACATTAATTTTTTCTTATATTTTTAAGTAAATTTTAAATTTATATAATGATTTCTTTTATGAAAACAAAATTTAATTAATTTTTTTTGAAGTAAAAAAAATGGATTGTAAATAGTAATTATTTTTTTATTTTTTGAATTTAAATAAATTTTAAAACAATTCAAATTTTTTTCAAAAATCTATATGCGACTTCAAAAAAACATGTACACACATTTAAAAACCCAAATATTTTTTCAAAGATTCCTGTCCTTTATTATATTCCCAATGTTTATTTTCGCTAATCTGACATCAAATTCATATTTTGCGATATTAATAACGTATAATTTCCTTAAAATTTTTTGAATCTGACTTTAATTTTGTATTCAGTGTCGTAATATAGGAAAATAAAATTTAATTTAATTATTATTAGGCGATAATACCGATATAAAATTTGTAAATAACTTTGAAAACGTAAACAAACAAGAACTTGAAATAATGTGAAAGTCAAATCCTTCTGCAGCTTCATTATAATTTAAACTTACAAATATCAAACGAAGAATGTTATTTCATATATAATATAAAACACAAATGACTTTAGAAAACTTATTTCCCTTATTTTTGAATAAATTTTAAATTTGTTTGATGTTTGCTTTTATAACAAAAATATAAATTTAATTTATTCATTACAATTAAAAAAATTAAATAATAAATTATCATTATTTATAATTAATTTTTTATTGAAATTAATTAATTTTTTAAAATAAAATTAATTAACTTTAATTCAAGAAATAAAAAAAAATAATTACTATTTAATAATCTGTATCTTTTTAATTAACACTTATTACTGTTTATTAATAATAAAAATTTTTTCTAAAAAAGAAATCATTAGGATATGGTTGCACTATTTCATTCATACACTGTGCATGCATGCAGAAACATTTGACCGGTAACACTTCAACAAAATCTAGTGAATGTTTAGTAACTTTCTAGTAATTTTCTAAAAAATTCGGTTGTAACTAGAAAGTTACTAAACATTCATTAGATTTCGTTGAAGTGTAATCAGCCAAATGTTTCTGTCAACATGCACAGTGCATGCATGAAATAAATAAATAAACATTTTTTGAAAAAATTTCAAAATTTCCAGAATAAAGTTTGGCTGCTATATTTTTTTTAAAAAAATAAAATTGTTTTATATATAAAATATGTCTGGAAACATATACTGAGTGCCCCCCAAAAATATAGACGTTTTCTACCCACCTAGATTTTTTTAAAATAAACTTTTTTGGAAAAAATTCCAATTTTAGAGTATAAAGTTTGTCTGCTTTATATTTATTAAACAAATAAAATTGTTTTACATATGGAATATGTCTGAGAACATATACTGAATGCCCCCCAAACATATAGACGTTTTCTACCCCACTAGATTTTTTTTAAATAAACTTTTTTTGCAAAAATTTCAAATTCTTGAGAATAAAGTTTAACTGCTATATATTTTTTTAAACAAATTAAATTGATTTATATATAGAATATGTCTGAGAACATATACTGAGTGCCCCCCAAACATATAGACGTTTTATACCCCACTAGATTTTTTTAAATAAACTTTTTTTGCAAAAATTTCAAATTCTTGAGAATAAAGTTTGGCTGCTATATATATTTTTTAAACAAATTAATTTGATTTATATATGGAATATGTCTGAGAACATATACTGAATGCCCCCCAAACATATAGACGTTTTCTACCCTACTAGATTTTTTTTAAATAAACTTTTTTTGCAAAAATTTCAAATTCTTGAGAATAAAATTTGGCTGCTATATATTTTTTTAAACAAATTAAATTGATTTGTATATGGAATATGTCTGAGAACATATACTGAGTGCCCTCCAAAAATATAGACGTTTTCTACCCCATTATATTTTTTTAAAATAAACTAAGGAGAGGTTATCGTTCTGGATGATGAAAAATACATAAACTTTTGGTATTTTTTTGACATAAGAAAATAGTTCTGGAAGTAGGTTTTCTTTTATTTGTTTATAAATACATAAAAAAATTCATATTTTCCATTAATAATATTAAAAAACTCTCAGTTCCAAACTTATTTTCTTATTTAAAAAAAATTCCTAAGTTTATGCATTTTTCGTCATCGAGAACGGTACAATTTTTATTAAATTTTTTATCCACAGTTTATCCTTCTGTCTGATGATTATTTCGAACATGTGTGGTATAAAAAATTGTAAATATTATTATTTTTTTAAAAGGCGTCACAGTTCAAAGGGGTGGAGTTCGAACCCGAGGTGGGCGAGGACGGGGTGCAAAAACTCTTCAACCACCTTTACATCTACCACCAAGTGTCCTAGACGACAATACTTCGGTAATATATAATTATTGATTTCATAAAGTTTTTTTTTAATTATAATACGCAGACTGAGTCTAATAATTAGAAATTATAATATAATTATTGAATAAAAAATTTAATAACTTTTTTTAATTAAAACTTTTTTTTCAGCAATTAACAAAAATTGTTGCAAAAGCAACATTGACAGCATTAAATGCTTATTTTCAAAAAAAAGATGAAAAAAAAAGAAGAAGAAGAAGAAGATGATGAGAATAATAAAAGAAAGAAAGGGAAAAAACAAAAAGAAGAAGAAGAACATAAAAAAAAGAAAACGACGACGAAGAAGAAGAAGTAGAAGAAGAAGAAGAAGAAATAGAGGACGAAGAAGAAGATAGGAATAGACCAATTTTAAAAAAAAAATACGATGGAGGAGAATATAGAAAAAGCAACCTTCCGCCGTACAACAAAAAATAAATTAAACAAGAATGTCAAAAATTATAACGACGATTACTATGACGATGGGAGAGACGATTGTTATGTCGATCGAAGAAGTGATCGATCGTACAAACAGTATGACGATCGTCATAGATCATTTGTAGATCGACAGTATGATCGCCATGACGCTCGTCGTCATAACGATCAATACGTCGATAAAAATAAATATCCTTATGACGATCGTCATACATATACGGGAGATCACTTATATGACAGACATACCAATCGAAACGTCTACCAGAGAAACGATCGTTACGACGATCGTCATAGTGATCGAAGGTATCACCAGACAGATGATCGTCAATACAGACGAATGGAAGATCGGCGGGACGATCATCGTGACGATCGTCGTGACGATCGTTTCTCTACGAGACGGGACTATCGTTATTATAATCGTCGATAAATAAAAAAAAGTATTTTAAAAATTAAGATAACGATATTATTTATTACTAAAATAAAAAGAAAAATATTTTAAATAATTTTTTAAAAAATATTTATATATAAGTTTCAAATTTAAATGCTGAATATATAAATTGCATTTAAAATTAAAACCAAAAAAATTTTAAAAGCCAACAATGTAAATTTTACACATTTTTAAAAATGTAAAAATTAAATAAATGACTATTTGAATATAAATTTTTCTTATTATATCTGCGTTTTAAAAAATGTAGATAAACGAGTTAAAAATTTGTTCATTTCATGACCATTTGGCTTCCTCATCATGATAAACATATATGTGACCGGGTCTGAGAAAACGGTGCTAGCGACCAAAATCAACTTTTAGAGAAAGACGCGTTTAAAGTTTTACTACTACATAAAAATAGATTTCTTGAAACATTTTATATTTTAAAGGACCTAGATAAGTGTTCCTTATGTAATTTTTTATACTGAACACGATTTTTATGGTTAAATATTTTTTTGATCACCAGTGTTATTGTTGTAAACAATTTGTTTTGCAAAAGTCAAAATATAACATATTAAAATTTAATTTAAACGACTTGCTGATAGCCTAGAGGTCTGAAATTTTTTATGCACATTCAGAACTAACAACCGCACAAAAATACATGGTTATTTTTCATTTACAGAACCAGGTTACGGATGACGGGTATACCTAAGGGTCATCTTCGAGAATTCAGATTTTTATCTTATAATTACTTATATTTTCATTAAAAAATTTAATGAAAATTTTTTTTAAAAATTTATTTAAAGAAATGAAATTTTTTTTTTTAATTCGGGACTAGTTAGATTCTATTTTTAGAACCTTAAACTATAAGAAACCATCATAAAAAATCGATTTTTTGGTCGATAACACCTATTTCTAAGACACGGTCACATATATTATTAATTTTAAAAAACTTTAATTTTTTTTAGTTGCACTCGTACTAATTCGAGGGTTCCGTACACCGACATTAATAACCTCTTTTTTATATAGAAATAAATTATAAATAAGGGGGGGGGCAGGATCATTTTTTTCAAATTTTTTCGAAAAAAACTGATTTCTTTCTTTTCTAGCTCGTAGCCATCAAATTTAATCGGTCTCGCTATATTTTTCCTGTAATCTACACGTGAAAATACGTATGGGTACTAAATTGCAGTTATTCATATAGCAAAATGTAGAAGTTAAGGGGGGACAGGGTCATTTTTTGCAATTTTTACGAAAAAAAACCGAATTCTTTCCTTTCTAGCTCGTAGCCACCAAATCCAATCGGTCTTCCTATATTTTTCCTGTAATCTACACGTGAAAATACGTATGTGTACTAAATTGCAGATCTTCATATAAAAAAATGTAGAAGTTAAGGGGGGGACACAAAGCTGGGACGGACGCAAGAGTCTTCACTGCAAAAAGAAGTATCTTATTTTAAGATGTTTTGGTAGCGTTTTCAAGACATCAAGACATCTTAAACATCTTAGTGTCTTAAAAACGCTACCAAAACTTCTTAAAATAAGATACTTCTTTTTACAGTGTTTTCATAAGGGTTCCGTCGGTACACCGAAGGTGTATGGAACCCTAAAAACATCGAAATTTCAATTTTTTGTTAAAAATAAAATTAGCGATCAATTTTATTAATATTAGTAAAATATAAACTTTATATACGTCAATAGATTTGTTTTGATGCCAGGAATACAACTCTGACAAAATTTATTAAAAATTTTCATGAAAAAAAGTTATTTCAAAAAATACGAAAAAAGATTTTTTACAAATTAAAAAATGAATTAATTTATAAATTTAAAATAAAATATAGACTTTATATAGGTTAATCAATTTGTTTCAATACGAGAAATCAGTTTATTGATAAAAAAAATTAAATTTACAGTATAAAGAATTTTTTGCTTTAAAAAAGTATTTTCGAATTTTTGATAAAGAGATATAAAAAAGAGAATGTTGTTTTTTTTGGAAATTCTGGAGTCTTATTTTAGACATTGATGACTTTAATAAGCCTACAAAATTTCAGGACAATCCATCAAAGAATGTTGGAGATTATTTGTACACAAGATTTTGTGACAAAGACACACACACACATATACTTACATCTGAACATTTATTTAAAACTTCAAATATATGCATTGTAGGTAAAAATAAGCCCATAAAACCCATTTTTAAAATTGAAAATCGTCACGAAACCAAAACTTCCTCGGGAGATGATGAAGCAATTATGAGAAAACTGCTTTTTTATATGTGCTTTTTTGCAAAAGTACATAAAAAAAATAATTCTTGTTTAAAAAATTGTTGTAAAATAATTTGATTTTTAGCCTTCATTTTTTACAGCATGGAGATCAGTAATTAAAAAATTTAAAAAACAGCATTTTTATATGTTCTTTTTGAAAAAGTACATAAAAAACAATAATTTTTTATTTAAAAAATTAATAAATAATTCAATTTTTAAACATAATTTTTAAAAAATTTTAAATTTTCAAATATTAAATTAGGAAACTACTTTTTTTTGGGTTTTTTTTTTTAAAAATACGTAAAAAACAATAATTATTTATTTAAAAAATTGAAAAATTATTTATTTTTCAAAACATTATTTTAAAATTTGCAAATAGCAAAATTAGGAAAAAAAATGTATTTCTTGAGGTTTTATTGAAAAAAATTAGTAAATACAATAATTATTTTTTTAAAAAATTGGAAAAATAATTTGAATTTTAACCTCTATTTTTTACAACTTTGAGATGAGTAATTTGAAAAATTAGGAAAAAACAGAATTTTTATATGTGCTTTTTGAAAAAAGTACATAAAAAACAATAATTATTTATTTAAAAAATTAATAAATAATTCAATTTTTAAACATAATTTTTAAAAAATTTTAAATTTTCAAATATTAAATTAGGAAAATACTTTTTTTTTGGGTTTTTTTTTGAAAAAAATACGTAAAAAACAATAATTATTTATTTAAAAAATTGAAAAATTATTCATTTTTTAAACATTATTTTTTACAATTTTGAAATTTTCAAATAGTAAAATTAGGAAAAAACTGTATTTTTGGGTTTTTTTTTAAAAAAAAACTATATAAAAAACAATAATTGATTGTTTAAAAAATTAAAAAATTATTTTGAATTTAAACTCTTTTTTTTGACAACATTGAGATGAAGAATTTGAAAATTAGGATAAAACTAAATTTTTGTATGTATTTTTTAAAAAAGTACATAAATAGCAACAATTTATTGTTTATAAAATTATTGAATAATGAATTAATTTTTAGCATTTATGTTTTACCACATTGAGATGAATAATGTGAAAAATTAAGAAAAAACTGCATTTTTACATGTGCTTTTTGAAAAATGTAATTTTATATGTGATTTTTTTAAATAAAAAACAATAATTATTTATTTAAAAAATTAAAAAATTATTAAATTTTTAAACATTATGTTTCAGAATTTTGAAATTGTCAAATTTCAAAACGAGGAAAAAACTTCTTTTTTTCAGAGGTTTTTAAAAAAAACGTAAAAAATAATAAATAATTTTAAATAATTATTTATTTAAAAAATTGAAAAATAATTCAATTTTTAAACATTACGTTTCACAATTTTTAAATTGTAAAATTTCAAAATTAGGAAAAAACTGCATTTTTATATGTTCTTTTTGAAAAAAAAAATTAAGAAACAACAACAATTTATTGTTTAATTATTAATAAATAATTTTAGTTATTATTTATAATCAAATCAATTTAAATATTGAATAAATTAGATAAGAACTTTACAATTCTTATCCTGGTTTTTCCAAAGAAACGCCTATATATAGGCAATTCGTGCATTTTTCCTTACCTCTTACATGCAACTCAAACATTGTTTAAAAAACGTTTTAAACGCAAAATTATTATTTTCTCGCACATAACAGACAAAGTCTATGATATTCTGAACATTTTCCAAAAGGTTTTATTAAAAAATATTCAAAATTGTGCTTCTCACACACCTGAGAAGTTTGCGTGTTAAGCGCCATGATTCGTGACGTCACGAAGGTTCAAATGCTCTTAAGCAACAAGGCAAAGACAGCCATTGTTTACGTTGGTGTTTGCAGTCCGAGACGTGAACGAGTGGTAGCAAACGTCAACGTAAACAATTGGCTGTCTTTGGACCCATGTTGCTTATGATATGTTTTTTTCCAAAGGTACAAGAGTCGCGCTTTTAGGTTATCTGACGGCCGGGTGAAAAAGCCGTTTATTTGTTCTACCGTTTGAAAACGGCATCCATTTTCACCCTAAGGCAAAAATAACACATGGGCCAGCAATTCATTTTTACCCTAGGGCAAACATGAACGCCATTTTTAGACGGGAGAATAAATGATTGGCTTTACACCCGGACGACAGATATGTAAATGCGCCAGGATTGTGCCTGAGTGATAAAAAAAGTATCTTAAAATGCTTTATTAAAACGTTTCATAAGTGTTTTATAATAAGATTACTACTTTCTGGAGTTTGTTTTACAAATTGCAATATTAAAAAAAACAATTATTATATTTATTATAATATTATTAATTATTATTATTATTATTATTATTATTATATTTATGAATTTAATTAAAGCTGTTTTTCACTGAATAGAGAATTGTAATACTCTATTTCCTGTAAAGTATGCTGTATAACATTCAATTTTTTAAATTTCAGGATTACCGAACGCAAGTTTATTCATGCAAATGTTTAATCCGCTTGGTATGTTTATTTTGCAATTTTTAAAAATTGATCTGTTATTTATTTTATTTATTAATGACAAAATTACTCTAAAATAAGTACAATCTCGCAGCACACAGCCAACAACCTTTTTATATTCACTAAAAACGTTTTCTATCCCCTTTTTTCGACACACTCTCCTACCAGCTATCCCCTCTTTTTTTATCGAAGACGAATTTTGTTAAGTTGTAAATTAAGTCTAATACACATTTGTTTTATTTATGTGTCATCACAAATGGACCCAAAATGGTCAACGTGTACCACTTTAAACGATCGTCGACCTGGAGGAATGGGATGCAATTCTCTCTCCTTACAACCACTTTTAAGTTTTGCTACATAGCACACAAAACAATTTTGTTTATGCCATTTGACGTATCCCTTCTTTCACGGAAAATAATAGAATTGCTTAA